AGACAGACAAAAACAACAAATACAATTAGGGGCCAAAGGCCTTAGTAAACAGATGGGTCTTGAGGGCCCTTTTGAAGGTGTCAAGCGTGGGGATGTTGCGGATCTCCGCAGGGAGAGCGTTCCAGAGGGTGGGGGCTGCTGTCGCGTCGCGTAAAAAATGTAGTTGAAGAAAGCTTTTCACAAACTGTGAGACATCTCTAGATTTCCTAAGGCTCAAAGATTACACCATGTCAGCATGGCCATGTACTGTAATAACTGGCTTAAGAAGTACTGACATGTTAATCCATAACACTTTTGTATCAAGATGGTAGCTGGTACAACTAACAGATGCAGATAACATTATTGAACAACAAGGTATTCAGATGCCAGACTATTAGGCAAAACTAAAATCCACAAAACGGTATTTCCACACAGATCAATAGAAAAATGGGTTATACTGCTTTTACCCCCAACAGGTAATTCAATATACTGCTGCTCAGCTTTAACAAAGAAAATGTTGCAGCCTTTCATAAGAAACATTTCTCACATTCTTGTGGAGTCTAAAGTCTTAGATAAATCTTCCTTTGGAACCGGTTTGTTTAAACAGGTTATCAAGCTACAGTGTGTTTAACCAGCCTACCCCCATCTTTCTCTTTTACGTAGTCAAATTACAGATATAAGAAATCTTAACATGAAGAAATACGAGATGAGACGTGAGAAGAATCAAATGATATGAATTCAACATGCTTATTTCAGTTAAATCCTGTTAAACCAGGTGACAACACTACTTTGAAATACTGTATCGACCAGTTTGGGCAGTCCTCTCAAGTCAGCGCCTTAACCGTAGCAAGGATGATTTCTGTGTTGAATGTATGTAAAAATGTGACAAGCTGCTTCCAATGGAGAACAAATTATATGTTTTCCTCTTGTTATCAACAAATTAATTGTAATTAAACACCTTTTACTGTATTGGCTCAAGATGTTAAACCTTTTACAATTCTACAATTCCACCATCAAATCCTGTTGTAGGAACTGTGGGGATTTTCAGCTGAACCGGTAATCCAGCAAGCTTTTTAATTTAATTAGCTTGTTTACTGTCTGGGCAACCTAAATCCTGCCTGCTTTGTAAATTGATGAGTGGATTGTTTGTTCTGCATGTGATTTCTGCACTTAAGGAAGTTATCATAGGAGTTTATTGTCATGGAAACCTACATACTTTGGTACTTTGGCCTTCATGGCAACACCAAGACTCGGATCAAATGCATGCATATTTTGATCGTAATAAGGAAGTGGCTGGAAGGCTTTTTTTTTTTTTTTCAATATATGTTCATTTTCACACATATAAATGTGGAAGTGATATTCAGAGGTTACATACAAACTTAAGATATATATTTATGCAAACTGGCATTACGAAAAATGTCCGGATTTGTCTCTGAGAGCTGGAACATTGGTTCAATTACAAAATATAAACCCATGAGTAGTGTTCATGGTCAAGTAACATTATTATTATTATGACAGTTCGACTACAGCAGCTGTGCATTTCCACGACCACACTGGTTCAGTCAAAGGTCTATCTTTAGCTCTGAATGGTGGAGGGTTACACATCCACAGCCTTGAATGGGCAGGAGCACTGCACCACTGTCGCACTGTGGAGGCAGCTGAGAGCGCACGTCTGTTCCTCAAGAGCACCGCATGCTGATAAAGCATAACTTCAATTATTTTAAAGGTAACAGGTTTTGATGCAAGTCCATGGGTTATCTGTGTTTCTCCTCAACCACAAAGGCTGCAGATACTTCCCACAACAGAGAGCTCAGAGGACAGCACCTGTGCTCGGCTTGCATCAGAAACCAAACACAGAGCATGACAGTGAGACCAAACATTGTTGCAGACTGAGAGATAAATAAAGTCTTATTTTCTCAAAGTCACAAGCCCTACAGTGTCGATAGGTAAGGTACAAGCAGGTCAGCATTTAGCTGAGGTCAGTAGACCTTCTTGTAAGGATTGAGTGAAAGCAGATTGTATATCTGTGAGAGATTTTTGTTGATTAATTGTATGTTTGTAGGAATTTGAAATGAAAGCTGCACATTACTCTTTATAGTTTCAGTCTTTTTTGCAGGTGACCTACTTCATGACACTCCAAATTGTTAACATTGGTGCACTTTAAGAAAAGATTTTGAATTAGGATCTTTTTTCCACAGCTTCTTTCTCAATTTGTATTTTTTAAAAAGGGTTAGACTATTTATTTGACTATATTTTCAAGTCCAAAGTGGAATGCCAATTTGTTATGTATAGTCCGGTTTTTATTCAAGTTTAAAATAAATTCTCAAAAAGGGCCTTACTATGTTAAACATTAATAAAGCCTTGAATCACAGCCTACATGTTTGAATTTAACTTGTGTGACATGAGCTTAACCCTAACCAGTGTGTTCAAACACGTTTTCATTTGCTCAACACTGGAAATGACATGTCATTTGGGTGTGTTAAACAACAACACTTTATCATCATATAAATCTTCTGCTTTGATTAATGTTTTAAAAGTGCATCGGATTACACAAGCCTAATCTTGGAGTCGGCCTGTGTCACCATCAACTTCCGTTACACAACTGTTATTTAAGGTCCTGGAGACGTTCCAAAATCAAAACAAATCAGATCTAAACTGATATAAAATTAATATTAAACAAAAGAAATGTAATGTGAACTTCGGTGCTTTTCAATAGAGATTTGTTTATAATATTTACATTACTATTAAAGTTCAATAACTCAGTCATAACTTACAATGTGATGTAGGCCATGATAAAACTGAAGCTTTCCAAGTATCCGCTGGTGAAGCAGAGAGTTGCTTGCAATCCGTAAAGATAGGTTGGGTTAATTAGTCAATGTCATTTTATTTCAAATAATAGTTCATGCAAACCTAGAGATTTTAATAAAAAAGACACAGATGGCTCATGGTGGCTACATAGTTCTTTTTCTCAAGAAAATAGTGCATTGGGTTAGAAATGAGAACACAACAGTGCAGTATAGCAACGTATGGTACGTAATGGTCCCATGTTGCAGAATACATAAGAGCTGCCTGCCTGTCACAAAAGGTACCTCAGTGATCTGCAGTCATATAAGTGTTACCTGACTGCAGGTGTTTTATAATATTTTGGAAGTGAAGCTGCTCTAAGAGGGGAAGGTGTGCAGGTATGAGTTGTGATTGGATCATTTTCATCCAATTGAGAATGAGTGAAACTAGAGATAATCTGGCAATCAGAGGAGTGGGTGACATAGGAATGTGTCTCTTCTCATAACCTCAGTCACATGCTGACTGGAAAATTAGTAGTGAACAGGAGAAGGGCGTCGACAGACTTCAGAGGAGTGTCTCTGTTGCACCAATAGCACGGCAGAGACGGCTTTCCATGAAAAGGCTTTGTGTAACGCTGTGGAGACTTGGCCCGCCGTGTGGTCAGAGGATGAAGTTTGCATATTTTCATGCATTAGTGAAAACAATGAATTAATCCCTGACTATAGGGTGGATCTACGGCTAGCCTGTCCAACTGTCAACTCCACTTTGTTTTTTTCCACAGCAAAGGGATGGTGGTTAAACTTTGTGTTTACTCTTTTCACTGTGGGGATGGGAAGAATTGGTTTGCTATTTATCTGTTGGCTGTTAAAGGACAGGTTCAACATGTGCACTAATGCTGTTATCAAAGTTAGAATAGGGATAGTGTGTGTGTGTGTGGCTTACTTTCTTTTTGATCTTCTCACTTTGTCCCTGGGCCTTTCTGTCAGTTTTTCTTGCTTGGGATGTCCCAGTGAGAAAACGGGCCAAACACAATAAAACTAAAAAGGTGGATGAACAAAACTTTGTATGAAAGAAACGGGCTCTTTTTATCATACAATCAGCCGTGGAACATAGTACCCAGTTTCCCTGGAAGGTTTTAACCTCCAGTTCCTTACTTTTTTTTTTATATATATATAGCATTTTAGGTTGATTAACACTTACTGTAGAAATATTGTGTATGGAAAATGACAATATGTCTATACAATTATAACACACTGCTATGCACTACTAATTGACAAACATTTAAATTAACTTATTATAAAAACAAAAGTTAAGAAGATAGGCCTGCAGAGTGGAAACGCTGATTCCTACTGCCACCTGCTGAGCAGTTTCAGTAAACTGAAAATATATTTTGCTGTAAGTATTCCAACCAATGTATGTTTCAGGATAGAACAGAACTGATGATTATCTGGTATTTTTCTACATCAATTTGAGTGTTTAACAAAATATCAAGACACTAAGAAAATGTGTTCACACGTTATGGCCGTTTAATTCCACACGTCTAAATCCAGACACATTTGGACAGTATAAATGGCTTTTATATACAGTACGTCATTTTATACGTAAAGAGGTATGTCCTCAAAAATATTACAGTATCAAAAATAAAAGTATTTCAACAATCCAAAATAAATAAGAATACTGAAAACAACAGAAGACACACAAACACATTGTCATGGCCACCTCCACTATTCTCTCCAAAAGAAGATATTCTCAAATGTTTTAAACACAAAATCGCTGATTTCACAGACTTTCCATTCACAGCATTTTACCAAAAAGTAAACATTTTGTTTATAAAAACTAGATATTTCTAAACACAAGAAATTCAGGACATGTGTAACTGCGGAGGAAGGTGGCGATGCTCTCTGTCAAAGAATACTCACTCCTCTCTGACTTTAAAGGTAAGGTATGTAAGTTTGAGAAACCAGCTCGAGTGCGGTAGAATTAGAAAATACACGACCGGAGAAAATCTGCCACTTCCTTACAGAGCCCCTCCTCCAACACACACGAACGTGCACATGACCAATGAGGGCACGGGATAAGTGTGTGCACGAGATGGAAGGCTGACAGGCAGGTAGGCCATCCAGTTATTTTAGCCGGGCCGGAATTGTTTTTATTTATTTTTTGTCAAAGTACAAGATATCCATTTCTATCGGGATGTTAAGAGCATTCCATGGAATATAACACAAAGTTTATCTCGAGCCGGTTTCAAACTTACATACCCTACCATTAACTTTCTGAAATCATCAACGTTTTTTTTAAGTGAACTTGAAGGTGTATGAACCATCCTTAACGTTATGAATGAGGGCATGAGGTAACAATCCAAAGTGAGTGAAACGTAGTAAACCCGAACCTGACAGTCGACTGAACCAACCTGCCTATTGTTGCGGACTGAATCTGTGCGGTTCCTTCTTGAAAACAGAAGCTGGATTGGCATCTGGATGCTCATCTAGCTGGATCTCTGTGGACAGTACGTCATCCCAGAGCTCTCATTATGCACTGTCAACAGCGTTCATGCTTTGTAGGAGTGCAGAACTGCAAATGAAGTATTGCTCGTCTTTGCCTGAAGACCCGCTATGTCATCACAATCTTCTGTTCAGTCAGCGTTTTCCTCGTCTTTTCTCAATTTCCTTTCGAAGTCGAGTCTCCAGAGCTGCCCTCATGGCTGAATCCAATATGTTTTTCTCTGCTACACGCTGCACTAACCTCTCAGGCTTGTCCTCCTTTAGAAATAGAAAGGGAATTAGGACCAAAACAAAAATAAATCACAATGCCAGAATAATAAATAGTGATCTGCATGTACCTTGTGCACAAGGAAGGAGGTAATGGTACCAGAGTCCGCCTGGTAGTCGAGCCAAAAGAGTTCAGTACCATGGGTCTCTGTTTCTGTGCTGGACCCGCTCTCATTGGACTCCTCTGCCTCAGCACCGCCCCCTGGATCTGAATCATCTTGGAAATGAGCAGACAAGTATATTATTTACTGGATTCAGTGTTGGAAATAAACACCGCAAAGTGCCTTAACTTACGTCTGCGTCGAGGATCGTACACCTGGATATCAGGTCGACGGGGTCGTCTAGGGGTCGTAGTATTCCTCCGCCGCTGGAGCTCTTTTGCCTCCTGCACCTCTTTGGCTTGCTTCACCGATTTATCATAGTCATCTCTTGAAGAGCCAATAAATCAACATTATTTAATTTGAATGGAAGTTGTGGTTTTTACATTCTTAAGATCATTGATTAAATAACTTTAAAAATGGGACATACTCACTAACCAATAGAAAAAACAAGTATAGAAGGAAATCTCAGGCAAGGGTTAAACAACAGATATGAGGTACAGGTACAATGAACGTGTATGTGGATGGTTGATATTTAATGTTACCAGTGATAACAGTGTTGTTGTTGTTGTTGTTGTCGTTACATGCTATGCTAGCTATATGTTGTTTTGTCTCCAGTGTCCTAAACTATTATTCTACAATGCTTCTTCTTGTACTATTAGTATTGTATGTTTTATGTATTATGTTGCATTGTTGGAGGAGCTTGGGACTTCATTTTGTCATTGCCATATCTACACTGTACGTAATATGCATATAACATAAAGCCTTTGAATCTTTGAAATATATACCTAGGATGACTCTAGCCATGCGCCTGAAGGACTTATTTGTTTATGTTCAGGTTGAGTGTAGCGGAACCTCCCCTTACAATCACAGTAACTTCTATAACATCCTCTAACTTCTATTTAACGTGTGCGGTTGTGGCTCCAGATATTGTGGCTAAATAGTAAAAGCTTGTTTGTTAGCTTCTAGCATTAGCTTTTGGGAAATCACCTAGCAATCTGGTTCCTCCGGATATGGTGCAGGAAGCCGTGGCTCATATCCAAGCGCCCAGAGCGTTTGTATTTCAGCTCGTCCAATTCATCTTCTCCTAAAATATCCATTTCAACAAAATGTTCCAAAGCGGTGATAATATTTGTGAGATAATAAACGCTAAGGATTGCAACAAGTCTCAGGCAGATCCACAGACATGACAAAAAGCTACATGCTAGCTAACGGTAAATCGTTGTCCAACTAAAACATTCCCCGAGTTTACAACTTAATAATAGCTCGAAAATAAACATTGTTTTAAAGACACATTTTCTGAAGCACAATAAATCAGAAATTGAATGTATATATATAACAAATCAAGTTATGCTTTCAGAAAATCAGCAAATTAATATATTTGTATTGCAGTGATGTAAAGTAAAGTAGATTTACTCAAGTACTGTGTACTTTACTTGACTATCTACATTTTCTGCTACTTTGTAATTCTACTCCACTACAATTCAGAAATAATGATTGTACTTTTACTCCACTACATTTATTTAATACCTCCAGTTACTTTACACATTATGAAAAATGATATCAAACATGATCAACACTTAAATAAGAATTTAGTAAGTTAAACCTAGTAAATCCATAAATTAGGCCGCAGTAAATAAAATAATACAAATTAGTTCCACCTTTACAAGCTATGATAAACATATTAATAATTATAATCAAAACATATATTATATTATTCTGAAAATGGCCAATCTGCATAATGAGTACTTTACAACTTTTACTTTTGGTACTTTAAGTATATTCTGATGCCAGCTATGTTGCACTTTTACTTGAGTAACATTTTGAATGCAGGACTTTAACTAGAGTATTCCTACACTCTGGTACTTCTACTTTTTACTACAATGTACAATCTCCAAGTACTTTTGGCACCTGTGTGGTATAGGTATTGAGCAACTAATGCTGGCCTCTTCGTGTTAGTTCTTGGTTGGCCATTTGCGACGTACAACCACCGCGAGTTTCGACCATCGCACACGGTGCTGCTCATTCATCTTCTCCAAATAAAGTTGTGCCTTCTCTGTTGTTTTGACATTAAGCTCCGAAGGAAACTGCCATGATGGTTTCTATGAAGCGAGAAAGAGAGACTGAAGTGGACGATGATGATGAGGACGACGAAGACATAGGTACGTTTATTTACTTCTACGTTTGGTTAGCATGAAGCTAACTAGTGCTATTATAAAGTGCCTTTGATTGTATTCACTAGTTTCAGTCACACACAGGCAGGTCAACAAGAACCACTGCAGTATAGTTTTCACTGGTTAAAGAAATATACCACCCTTCGGATTTATTCATCATTACTCGTGTGCATCAAGTTGATTATCTCATAACAACAAAAAGGCTAGGTCAGTTAGCATGTTTGGCTAACGTGAGATTACATTAAACTGTTTGAACATTGTTTTACTTCCTGTTGCAGTGGCAGCCAAAGTCGGCCGAGGACGTGCAGCAGAAGACCGGAGAAGCCGCCACTGTCCTTACCTCGACACTATAAACAGGTAAGATATAGTTGAATGTGCATAGCTAATGTTAGTGCTACATGCTAGTTAGCCCCGTCCTCCTCTATTGCTCTCCAGCTGATTCCCAGTCTTGTCTATGTATCCACCAGGAGTGTGCTGGACTTTGACTTTGAGAAACTGTGCTCCATATCACTCTCCCACATCAATGTCTACGCCTGCCTTATATGTGGGAAATACTTTCAAGGTAAGTGAGGGATCCAACATTAAACAAGGAATGAAACACCTTGTTGTGCTAAGACTGATTCACTCATGTTTTGCTTGTATCCCTGCAGGTAGAGGTTTGAAGTCTCATGCTTACACGCACAGTGTGCAGTTTACCCATCATGTGTTCCTGAATCTGCACACTCTCAAGTTTTACTGTCTGCCAGACAACTACGAGATCATTGACTCCTCACTAGAAGACATCACGGTAAGTTAAGTGTAACAGGCTGATGGCATGTCAATATTTTACTCATTTTAAGCACCATCTTAACACGAGTAAAATATTACTTTGCATATTATAAATACATCCAGGATTGAGAGAGTTCATGTAGTATTCAGAAACATTACATGCCAAAAACATACCCGATGACTTTACTTATTATTATTATTATTATTATTATTATTGTTGTTATACAACTGTATATTGTTAAGAGTGTTTCATATGGATATATTTCAAATGTGATCTGATGGTGTTTTACTATAGTCACTATTCATATTGATTTTGAATGAGTTGGCATAATACTGTGATGGGATAATAGTTAGATACTGTTTTAACCACCAAAGGTCATTCTCAAAGTGTCACAGTGTCAATAAGTAACACCAATTCCATACTGTACAAACTGCACTTTGTTGTTAGTAATCTGTTGACACTTTCTTTACAGTATGTGCTGAAACCAACTTTCACCAAGCAGCACATTGGAGGGCTGGACAAGCAGGGTAAACTGTACCGAGCCTACGATGGTACGACCTACCTGCCTGGCATCGTAGGGCTCAACAACATTAAAGCCAACGACTACGCCAATGTGGTCTTACAGGTACGATTAGCTGTCTCCCTGGACCATCAATGAACATGGTCATTCACTTCTCTAAATAATCCCAACCATGTCACGTTTGCCTTTTCCCCCCCCAGGCTTTTTCCAATGTTCCACCGTTGCGAAACTACTTCCTTGAGGAGGAAAACTACATGGGGATCCGGAGACCACCGGGTGACATCATGTTCCTCTTGGTGCAGAGGTTCGGTGAGCTGATGCGCAAACTTTGGAATCCGAGAAACTTCAAGGCTCATGTCTCTCCACATGAGATGCTGCAAGCTGTTGTGCTGTGCAGCAAGAAGAACTTTCAAATCACCAAACAAGGTAAGGCTTGAGTTTCCAGAAGAAGTACTGCACATCTTAATAACTGAGTTTTAGCACGTGTTGCTCTATAGCAGGGGTCACCAACCTTTTTTAGGACGAGGGCTACTTTCAAAAAATAAAACAAGTCGGGGGCTACTTTTACTCCTCTTTTTTTTGTTTTTTGCAGTGTATATATTTAGCACATTTTAACATTATTATATGCTTACCTTTAACCTTTGTGTGCTGTTTGGGTCTGTGGGACCCGTTTTCAGTGTTTACTAAAATAACATGTATGCAATT